ATTGTAGATACTAACAATCGAAACGTCGTGAACTAACGTGACTTGGAATCACTCAACTTTTTATTTTTATTTTCTTTTTTCATTTCTTTATTTTAATTTATTTTTGTTCAATTGTTCTATTTTACTTGTATTTTATTTCACTATTATTTCATTTCAGGTTTATTTTGCTTAATATAATTGTTATTTTCAGCTATTCATCTTTAATTCTTCTTTTTTAGTTGTTTCAGGGATTTCAAATCCTTTTATATAGTAGACAATGGAAGTCCGAACTAGTGAAAATGACAACTAATTTGAAAGATGAAGCTTCAACAAGATGGCCGTTATCCATTCCAACCAGAAGTCCCGGTTGGAAAGCTCTAAATAATATTATCATTAGAGGAAAGACAAAACAGAATTAGCAATATTTTATTCGCCACTTGGCGAATCCCACCCTGAACATATAGTACGAACCCCACAGTCCGCGGATGGTGCAGCATTACCACAACTCGTTATTTTTTCAAATTTTTCGCAAACTATACATCTGTTATAATTTTCATCCCCCACATTCATTTCGTCATCACTGTCATCATCGCAAAGGTGCTCTTCATCTTTACTTTCTGAAGAACTTTCTTTCTCTTTCTCTAGAATAATTTTCAGATTATATGGTAGCATGTTGTTTTCGCGTTTTTTGACCTGGCTTATAAGATTTTTTTGGTCCCTTGAGAGCTTCTGACTTGTCCATTTAGTACAAGTTTCCAGAAAACACTGCAACCTCTTGGACTTATTGCATTTATTCTCCCATCTTCTCATGACACCCATTCCATCAGTCTCTTTCCCTGTACTAGTTTGTATAGGTTCCGTGTTGGATGTTCGTCATATTCTTCTGAACGTAATTTTGTACATCCATATATTGCCTGCCTCCTATGATTCAGTGCCTTACATTCGCTTCGTTACATTCCCTTCGTTGCATAATCTGCAGCTGAGGTCTCCGTTGTACAGCCCATTTTATTCAGGTGTCCTCTAAGCGGACAATGACCGGTTAGTAACCCTGTAATTATTTTGAGCCGATCCCTGCTATATTGAAGTAGTTCTTCGGTTCTTTTCTCAGACGGTTCCCTAATGAAGGTTCTACTGTATTTGTTGTCAGGTACTTTTGTCCAGTACTCTGTGTGCCTCTTATTGGTCTATGTCCTGATCTAGTTTCGTACCGATGATTTTGGTACCCCCAGAGCTGGTTCAGGACCTATATATGAAGTTGATGATCCGTGTCTAGCGCATTTATCAGCTTTATCATTACTTGTGATTCCTGAATACCGTGGCACCCAGTACAAAGTTAATTTGTTCCTGTTCACAATTTCATTCAGTTCTTCATGGCATTCCCAGGCCAGTTTTGATGTCACCTTCAGGTCTGTCAGAGCCCCTAGTGTGCTCTTGCTATCTGTTGAAATATTGATCCACTCTTTGAGGTCTCAATTTAATAAGCCATGCACACTGTAAGACAGCATACACTTCCGCCTGAAAGACGGATGTGTATAGTCGTAGCGGATAACTGTAGTTTAAATTTCTATACGCTCGGTATATTCCAGCTCCCGTTCCATGTTTGGTCTTCGATCCATCTGTATACCAGGTGTTTTTTCCAAACATGTTTTCGGGATGACTAATGGCTTATGATTTCGGCCGTGAAGTTTCTGTTAAAAGTGTTTTTTCAGGAGTGTATCCAATGGAGCTGTTGGGGTAGTTCTCATTGTTCCCGTTATTCCCAAACATGCAACTCTTTGCATCTTGCCTAGTTTGTTGATAGCGGTCGCCTGCTTCATCTTTCGCCATCAGACCAGAGATGCGTATGTTACCATGGCTTTAACCACCATCATATGTGTAGCCAATATACCATGTCTGGTTTTAGCCCCCATGTTTTCCATAGGTGCGTCTGGCGAGCATCAGTGCTACCTCCGCTTAGAAGATGGTGCAATAGTTGGTGTGTTGCTCTATCAGGAAAGTTATTTGCTCATCAACAAGTTCTTAGTTACAAGCAACTGCCAAAACAGATTCAGAGCATTGATCCTTATTTGATGGACCTGTCAAAGGAGATGCATCTGCTGAGTTTATGACCATACTATCATGCTGCGCATCTTCAAAATTTGGGACATTTGAGTCTTGTGTTTCAGTTATCGACAAAAATTGTCACGTGTCGAGGTCTGTTCTTTTTTGCTTTTGTGCAACCAAAACGATCCTTTTTTTGGATCGGATCGTCACGTGTGTTGAAAAGTTGAACCTCTTTGACAAACTCCTTGAGTTCATTAGATCGGAAACAGACGTACAAGTGTGGTTCAAAAGGTGTTATATTTGTTTCAGTTAAAAATGGGATTGCTGCTTTACTCACTTGCGTTGGTGACACTTTTGGTCATATTATGGAAAATAAGCTCTGCGGCGAGATATTGGATAAAATACACTATATTCTTCTTGGTGTGCATAATGAGCGCGTGTCTTCCAATTCCTTTGATGCTGCTAAAACCAAGAGATAGCAGAAATGCACTGTAAGTGAACAACTTATAATAATTATTATTTTCTTGAGAAACGATAACGTCAACTTTTACATTTCTGATGTAATGCGTTTCTTAAAATGATATATTTTTTATTTTGACGTTGCTTGAGGGCTTTCTGACCTGTGCAGTTCCTCCAAATCTCCAAAAAGCACTACAACTTCATAGGGTTACTGCATTTTTTCTCCAAATGTTTCTTCTATTGATTCTCACATTGTTTCTTCCATTGTTTGTCACATTGTTCCTCCCGTTATTTCTCCATTGTTCCTCCATTGTTCTTTTCATTGTGCCTCCCAACGTTCCTTCTATCGTTCCTCCCAAAGTTCCTCCATTGTTTCTCCCAATGCTCACTGCATTGCATCTTCCAAGTTTTCAGACACCCATTCCAACAATCTTCTTCTCGTACTAGTTTCGTACGTTTGCAGTCCAGAGCAGTTTTTGAAGTATATTCTATCAATATTACTGGAGTTTTTTCGCAACACCAAACCGTTATTTTAACACCACGACACGTGTTTTGATCACCAAGTAATCGAAACACTCCTTAACGGTTATACATTTTATTGTTAACAGATCCTGTTTCCATAAATTTGCTCAATAATTCCGAAACGTATCTGTGTCATACATTTATTCCTGAACGATTATTCGTTCTCGAAATGTATAAACCATTGCTTCTCATGAATTCTCAAGAATAGAATCGTTATTGTAGAATGAGATATACGCTGTGTCCAAGATAAGAGTGAACAGCATGGGCGTATTTATGCGTATTTATGAGCATAACAATATGCCATTTCTCGCGCAAAATGAAAAGTGATTACTTAACCTGCTTGTCTTCAATTTTAGATAGTAAGCACTGAAAAAATGTTATAATCTAGACTGTTCATCATGTTTTATGCGAATGTGAGGATCATGTTAGGTTATCAACTCATGGACAATCCAGAAGAAAGTGAAAACATTCAGATTCGCGAATCTGTTCAAATTAGTACAGACAACGGGCTTGTTGGAATAGATTAGGAAATATGGTGAGAAGACTCAGTAAACCAATGAGTCAGTGTTTAGTGAAGAATTGGAAAAAATGTTAGAAGATGGCTCCTACAATTTTTTTTTAAAACAGTTGAAACATTTTGAGACAATTGAACTGTGAACCTCTAACATTAAACAAAAAACATTGTCAAATACTATCACTTAGACATTATTGTATTCCACCTCAATTTAACTGGAGGTCACGAAGACCTTTGTCGTTTGGTGTATCAGCAAGTGTAGGTCATAATTATTAATCCAAGTATCGATATTCTTTTTGTTTTTTATCGAATTTTTTGCGAATTTATCCCATGCATTCAGCCAGTGATAAAGTCACCTTCAGGAAATAATAAATAAACAATATTTTGCTTACACGATATTCTTTATATACACGATAAGATAAGGTGAAGTCACACGTTTCAAGAAGCTAATAACGAATGTTATTTAAGTCACAAATTGGAAACCCTTACCGATACGATTTAAAACTTATGACTAGCTCATTGGCAGTTTTGCTGATTTGAAAGTGTGTTGCAGATATCAGATAAAGAATTACCCAATGAAAACGAAACACGTTACCAACCAGACTTAGTAATATATGTTGAAACACTATATTTCAAAAATAATCTAGAAATGAGATTTACTCTACATTAAAAACGGACGAGAAATAGTTTGAAATGTAGTTGTTGAACTTTCCTCAACTTTGACACGAGGTTGATTTGGAATAATGTAATAATAATCGTGTACAACTGAACGTATCCAAATGTAAAATAATATCATTTACAACAAAAAAGCGAACTTTAATGTACGATTATTCAATCAACAATACTACAATTAACTATGTACATGAATCAAAAGATCTTGATATAACATACGACAGTAAATTAACATTTACAACATATATAAGGAATATGACTGCTGATGCAAATAGGATGCTTGGATTCATTTACAGAAATGGCAAAAACTTCAAAAGTATTGCCACTTTAAAATTGCTATATTTTGCGTATGCCAGATCTAATTTGGAGTATGGCTCTGTGTTATGGAATCCAGTTTACGACTCCCAAAAACATCGACTGAGAGCGTGCAAAGGAAGTTCCTTAAATACTTATGTCTAAAAGTTGATGGACAATACCCCACGAGAGGCATCGATCAGAACATTTTGTTGACACGATTTGTTATCCTTGGTATAAAATTCTTGCATAAATTACTAAACAACAATATTGACAGTACGGTTCATTTACCCGAGATCGATTTCTTAGTACCGAGAAGTGAAGGTCGACACAATCTGAAATTCTGTTGCGAAGCATCACGCACAAACGTTATGCTACGATCACCATTGACTTTTATGTGCAGTAGCTTCAATAAAATCTGTGAACATTGCGAAATTCATTTCGACTCTCTGAACGCCTTGGTATCATGTATCCACAATCACTTTTAATAATACAATAAATAACATTTGTGTCAGTACTGCTACATTGCATGATTTGTAACTTTTTGTGTTATATACTCAATTTTTCATTCCTCTTTTGCAATTCTACGTATATGAATATTTTATATATACTTTGTTTTAGCATTTACTTCTATACATTTCTATATTCCTATATTTTCAATATTTATTTCATATATACTCTGTAATGATAGCATTTTCTGTAACTGGGTACTCCTGTTGGAAATAAATCGCTTTTTTTTATATCACGAATTGGTTAGGAAAATTCATCACTCGGTGTGTGTAGAACCGAAGTTGTTCTTGCAGGCACTAAAATTAAAGAAAAGAAATCATATTTTGGATAGAAAACTTTTTCATTTCAGATATATAAATTGTAATGATTATGGCTGCATTTTGTCAATGTCAATAACGATATAATGAATCATAAATGTAATGGTGAGCACAATGCTGGTTCTGAAACATCAAAAACCGCATAAGAGCTAATGTCAAGTTTTTCCGCCATCTCACGCACCGTTTCCACCAGCGTCTTCAAATTCTCGTCCTCGATTACTGTAGATACGAAGATATGGAGCTACGAGAACACATGACCTTATATATGAGAGAGCATATTGTGTAGTAATCCTGTGAATGATATCTGATTCAATTCTATGACGAATGTTTGGGGTACAAACTGAATGGGAAAAAGTGTTTTGTATAGTTCAATGTCCGTATAAAAGTAGTTGTTTCAAAAGTAATTTTTCTTTCGTGTATTTCAATGTTTAAACGAAAGTAGTTGTTTCAGGAGGGTTTTTTCTCCCAGTTTGTGTCTGAAAGTTATTTCTTTGCATGATCTACATATTTTTGTGAAGAGTTTCCTAGTATTTTTTCTAACTTTCTAAAGTTAATTTTTCAAATTTTCAAATTTTTGCTTCAACTTTATTGAATTCCCATCCAGCATGATATTCAGTGATATTCTGAAACTTCTTATTCTTAATAAAATATGAGACTGTCTGATGAAGTGAATCAACAGAGAATTAATAATTTCTTTCTCCAGATATGTTAGTAGGTAAATAAACATTATCATAATACTTTGAATTATTGACAGTTTACAGTCGTTCCTTATTGGTTCTCATGAATATTCGTGCTTTCTTCGATATTCATAATATTTACCTAACACATTTTTGAACATATTCCAACTGTTGATGACAAAAGCGAGTTTGTAATCGTATTGAAAATGAATTGAAATGAGAATCTTTTATTTGAAACCTCTTCACGATATCCGATCACTGTAGGTGATAAATATTTGTAATACAGTCTTCTGGTTTACTAGTATTGGCAGAAACTCAATAGAAGGAAAATTGTCAGACCTATTAGTGGTTTTCACTATATTTATGTAGGTACACTATGATTTCTCACTTCTAATAATACCTACGCCGCTATTCTCAGTCTGCAATAAAAATGACTCACTAAGTACATATCGCCGTGGTATTACAAAGTCTAAGTTAAGATAATGTGATGAAAGGGAAACGAATGTGTACGTTAAAGGAGATCTGATACCTTTCTGTTCATTTGGAATATTCATATCAAAGTAATAATAACAAATCATATGGTCAAAAGTACATCATCAGCAAGGCAAAAACTCTCGATACTGTTTCCATTCCATTGCAAACCTTAGAGGATATGGGTAAAAGAGGTACAGTATACAATCTTATGAAATCATATTCAACTGGAAGAAAACAACAAGTGCGAAATAAAACCATATTAGCAAGGAACAAATGATTACATGTGGTGTACCACAAGGTACCGTGTTAGGGCCCCTACTTTTTACTGTTTACCTGCACAGTCTCTTCATCACAGGAGCTGAATGTGAAATTATAAGTTTTGCGGACGACACTGTACTGTTCTATGGAAGTGCCACTTGGCAAGATAATAAAATGGCAGAATTATAGATTGCTGTCAATTAATTTCGGAAAAACCATTTACTTGCCTTTCAGCAGCAATGAAACATATTCACCGCACTTCAATCACATTTCAGGTTTATTGTTGCTTAATATAATTGTTATTTTCAACTACTCTTTTTTAGTTATTCTTTTTTACTTGTGACAGGGATTTCAAATCATTTTATATAGTAGACAATGGAAGTCCGAACTAGTAAAATTCATCACGAAACATTGTCAATCACCTTCAAACAAACTTCACCATTATGTCAGCAGATAAAACTAAGTATCTTGGTATAATGATTGATAAGCACTTCGAATGGAAGTCACCATGAGTTACTGTCCGCTCACGGATAAAGAGAAATTCTTGCACGGAAACTGTATACACTTCACCATTACACGGATATCTGTGCTCACATTGGAAATAATCATCGCAGAATAGCCAGTATAGGCAGTTCTCTCATCGATCAGACCAAAGCAGAAGGATCCAAGTGATAAACCCAAGAGATAGGTATGTCCAAAGTTAGTAGGTCTACTCAAACTAGTCTATCCGGTAATTGAGACGCTTACAGGTGAAATGATGTTACATTAAGGTCAGTTGGGGTCGTTGAGTCGAC